AGTATATGAGCTTCGTAATACTGATCGTAAGTTTTATAAAGTCATCATATGGCATATAAAATATAATTCATAGTTTCAAATAAGAATTAAATCCAATAGCGAATTATATAAGCTTAAACTATACATTATTTGTTTATTAAACGATTCAATATTCTACATGTAATTGTATTTCTAACGAAAACACAAGGAATCACTATTTAACAATAAACATAAAATCGCGATCTACGTATTACGTGCATCCGGCGAGCTTTCGTCCGGCGCACGCGCATTGTCCGCCGGATGTCTTGCGGTCACACGCAATTTCACAACCTCTGCACTCATGCCACCCCGTCAGATATGATTCGAAAGCTTACAAGAACAATGAAATAAAAGACAATATTTTAACTCGTACAGTATCGTTTTATTTAAACTTAAATTTGAATTGTTATTGAATTACTGATTCTATTTTCTTATTAACTTATATATTATATTATATTAAAGGTGGCACATTAATTCGATCCGTACTTGGAAAGTTACAATATTTATTTTCCAACAAGACAATTAATTTCCACTTGCAATATCCAATGAGATAAGTGCGTTATATTTTATTGTACCTATTGGAGTCGACAATAAAGTTTGCAGAACATTATCAAGGTCTGTTATTTATAACCTGACCGCACGTAGAGGTCATATTCGAGCTTTAAGACGCTTAAGAAGATTATTTGGTCCTATATGGCCTCTAGACATGTTAACCTAAACAATGTAATGTAAGACCATGGCGCTTGATTATCTGTCAATCATCTCTCAAATTTGAATAGCTGTTATTGCACGGTAGGTGCGAGTTATGATGTCCCCGACCTACCCCGCTGACGCGATGGCCGCGAATCTATCTCATTTAAACACATAAATAAACTTTATCTTTTGTCTTGACATTAAATACAACTTCTTATTTATGCGTTCTTGTATTAAATGCTAAATCACAGACGACGCACATACATACATGTAATAAAGTATCAGTAATACGATCGAGTCACGAAGAAACTAATGGAAATATTTTAAATAAACATTTTAAAAATAATACACTTTATGTACCCAAATGATATATTATAAAGTATAAATTTGTGTCTTATTGGATTTTTAATAAATGAAATAGAAATTTAAATATAGGTATCGACAATGTTTACGTAATGTCGATTACTAATATAATAATAACATGAGCAAGGGCTCAAGGGGCTCCATTCATTTTATTGGCAAGTCGTTCGTTGACTTATTGCTTTCCGGGCGGTTCAATATGTCACACGATAACAATGTTTCTACGTCCGATCTTAATAGGCTGAGGCCCTGTCAAAGTTAACTATTTATTCTTGGATTATAACCTAACTTGGTGAAGTTTCGATTTCACTCTCATTTCTATGAAACATTTTTAGAATGTCCTTAACGAATCCGAATTTAAATAAGAAAGGGCAAGAATCAGCCACGAAACGGGATACCCGACCTTATCGCCCTTTGTAATTTTTTACGTTTTCGAGGGTTCTGTAACGGTAAAGCGGCGTGCGGCGTCACATTCGGCGCTCTCCCGCGGAACTCGCGTCATTTCGACAACTAATAACCCAAGTGGACCTCATAATTTATAAGGAGAGCCGAGCGACCGCTTTTTACCTCTCCGTCGCCGACGTCTGGGAATCCGCAACAAAGACCGAGCCAGATTCCGTTTTGCATTCCGCTGGTATACTTGCGGCGGATGCCTGCGAATTCGATGTTTCGAAATCAAAATTTGCACTGAATCGATCGAGAAGAGCCGTCCGCATAAATAATAGATGTCGCGAGCCGTTTCCCACGCAAATCGCGTACTTAATAAACCTACCAATGCCGCTTAATCTCTTGATCTGTACCGTCGGCGTCGAGACGTCTCCAGGCCAAATTCGACATTAAAGTATCGGCGGCGAAAAACGCGTGTGACCCACTTCCGATGCAATAAACCACCCCGTCAAATTTCGTTTCGGCCGTTTCGCGGCGGGCCGTCGATCGGTTACTTTTTGGCCTTTTACATCAGCCCCGTTGCATTCTCGATTTTACGATCATCTTGACTGACCGACGTCTGACATAGGTCGTAAAAGAGCAGATTTTACTTCTTATTGTTCGCCTTTCGCGAAATCTAATTGAAGTCGGCAATGCTCGCGCCTCTTTACGTGTTTTTAATTTTACTGCTCGCGGTACGCTGAATTATGTCCCGCAAACGATAATGACAACTGACGAGAATTCGTTCATTACTTTTTATCACACATTAAAACAACTTTAAACGGTTCGCGAGAAAACGATATTGGGTAATGCATCACTGTGTACGCTCGGCTTGTCTCGAAAGCTCTTGCGAAGTCGTACACAGACGCATGGTCTTATTTTCCTAAGTTATTTATATAAAACATCTGAACGCAAAAACAATCATAAAATAGCTTTAAACAAAGCCATAAAAATACATACAAACGCTTGTAGTTTTTTTTCATGTTGATTAATTAATATTTTTAACTGGTTTTTATAACTTCCTACTTTTCTTACGAGTCTTAAGATATTTATAATTACTGTGATTACTGTATGCTTAATAATAATTACATACTAGTTTATTGAATGCTCTTATTATAAGACTAAATTCATTCATATCTTTAAAAATCCAGTTGACAAAGCCGTTCAGTCAACATCGGAGGGCTAAATCCTGTGTTTACAGAGCAAGTATGTTAGGTATGTATAAACTAGTGGTATGGGGACTAAGATGGCCGTTAAATATGAATAGAATGTTCTAGCTGGAGGCCTACAGTTTAATTCGAAGCCGGACTCACCGTGACTCACTTTGTATTCGCCATACGTTGGCCTGCGTCACTCGCCTATCGGAAACGCGAACGGCCGAGACGCCTATTTAAACATATGTCCACTTTTATAGTATTTATTTTGCAACATCTATCAAAATGTATAAAATTTTAGATAAATACATATAAACAATTATAATTGATACTCAATTCAATGTATTATTCAGAAATAGTGTTTAAATATATGTCTTCCTCAAAACAAATGATACGACCAGACAGTATTAACGCGTTTTTATCGTGACATCATATATTTTATTGGTTACACCTTCCTTTTCAATTTAAATTATTACCTACAACTTCACGTGGCGTAGGTTTAGCTTAAAGCTCTAAAACGTTCTGTACATATAAATTAGTTAAGTTCACATAATACTTCCTTCGGATCTTCAGAAAGTTTTTGTCAAGTGGTGGGTGAGCACTGTCTGTAGCGGGTGTATGATGCCTTTGAGACGTCTATAACATTGGTCTCTCCCGTGACAATGATTGTTGTAAAGCATTCAAAACGTCGGGAACCAAAAATTAAAATAAATCCGCGAAATAATCCGAAAAGATAGTTTTATTTAACATTTGCTTGATAGAACCAACTAAGATTACAAACTTTTGTCATACTATAATATCAAGCATTTTTAATCTTTGATGTCTTTAAACGCTGCTGACGCATCCCTTTCGCTTCTTCAATATTCATCAACGCTTAGTGGAGCACTTCTTTATTATTCATACCGTATAATGGTGTATAGTATTACTTGAAATATTATAGCGCTTAATAAATTAAATTGTAATTTATTTTATTTTTATATCAAACTGCGTTAAATCTATTCTGTTGTATTGCTTTATCGTCGGTATCATTAAATTTACTATTTTTTACTCATACAAATTATATTGTGAGTAAGTAAATTATTCACTCTTTACAAATCATTGAACTGTCTCGTTTCTAAATTTAAAAAAAAGTTTGTATATATGCAATTTACTCACGGTAGAAGTGAAACTTCTTTGGCAAATATCGCAATCAAAATTAAAAAAAAAATCAGACAATAATAACGGTTACCATGGCAACAATTCGACATAATAGCGTTTAATGTATTCTATCTCGTTCTCTTGCCGGCTTAAACCTATAGGTATACTCGTATTTCTGTGTTTGTCTCTTTCTCATGTCGCATTTTCTTTTAATCGAGTTTCAAATCACAACGATTCTAAAGAAGTATCACTTCAAAAAGTACTTACTTTATTTAACTTTTTCATTATGCATCACCTGAGTCGCAGGAATGCCTTAAGATTCAACAACACCCGTTAGACGTCATCTCGATTGTCAGAAACGTTAAACGCGAGATTTTATAAACATTTAATGAAAGCGCTAGGAATGTATACTAAAGTACTTTTTCATTAACATTTTTATTTCTTAATTATCTAAAATATGGAAAATTTTAACTTTAATATAAAGAACTTAAAGAGGTCTTTAAGAACATGACTTATTTTTATACATAATATGAAATTAAAGAATATGTCTTCATTCACTTAAAGGTGCACGCTATCAGCTATGCAAAGGCTGGCCGGTTATTTTAAAAGTTTAATGCTAATATTCATATAACCTTAATCGCTCGCTTAAGCTCTCATTATAGAACGAGTAAAATCGATAATAATCGTCAATTGTTTATTTTTTGATGAAAAAAGTTGTTCCGAGATTGTCGTTTACATTTATTTTATTGCGTCTGTGCAGTAAAAATGTTACTTGAATAGTTTTATAGTTGCAATGTAGTTATTAATGTTTTATTTTTATTTGTTCGCAGGTAAATATCCCCCGCATACTCAAGAGTAATTCATTGGCAGGTTATCTTTATAATCTCGCTCAGCGGACCACTTCATAAATCCAGTGAGTTAAATTTATATAGAAAGAATCGAATATCTCATACGAAAATGTAATGTCGCCGCCAATTAATATGTTTATCTGGCGGAATATCTGACGGGGTGAGGTCACCTGCTTTCTTGTAGAACAGTCCCACGTTTTTCGATGTACGACTGCAACCTTTTGTTGCGTCGACGGAGTAAACATGCGAGATGCGATCGAAAATAAATAACAAAGGTACGTTCTCGGTTTCGAAAGTGTACAGCCAAGTGCCGCCGTGACTCGTCAGAATTAAACGATTACAACAAGTGCAGCAAACTGACCTAGCCCACGCGGAATGGAACACTTTCTTCTAAACTCAAAATGTAACCGTAACTATGAAGCGGACAAGCGTTTCCGGCGCCCGTGACGTCATAGTCGTCTCGCCGTGCCGCGCCGGTCGCCGCCCCTACTACGTAACCTTGGCGCAGTGAGATGTGCTCCGCTCGCAACTCGCCGCTCGCAGCATGTCGCTTTCATTTTCATTTTTTTTTAATAAACCAACCTATTTGCGAGCGATAAGACACTGAGCACGCAAGACTTCGTCCCAGCAATCGATTCTTAGTATCTAATTCGCATAATGCCCCCTTTACATATTCAGCCGGATGCAGAAATTATACTTATTGAATTCCACTTATAAGGTGAAATAAGAGCAAATCTCGGTAATTTTTCACACGATCCACGAGGGCATAGTTGCCCTAAGCGCGGCGGTTGGGGTGAGCGAACTCGCAGCCTGTAATTTCGGACCGCAAAAGGAACAAAACGAATCGAGATCGGTGATTAAAAACCTTTGTCGGTTCTACTAATATTTATATTTTAGCAATGCGTCCGACATCTAATTGGCCGCTCGTATATTTGAGGCGGATCGAGTGCCGCGGCGCGGCGCCGACCACCGACGCTTCATTAGTTTTCTTGGTAGTGAAATCATAAAAGACCAATTTTTATGTTTAGTCGTATATGTCAAAACGTGACCCCGTAATAGCGACTAGACCGCCGACAAACACACCACAGAGGACGTTTCCACGTCGTACGATATAAAACGACGTCCATTCGATGATTGTTTCATTTTGCCATTCAATAAGGAGCTAAAAATAGCTGCTAAATTATAAATTATCGCAGGTGGTACGTATAGGCAACTAGTTTCAACTGCCCATTGCGGGTACTCTCGATCGGCCCAAGGTCTGGGATATTGAACCTGACCGGAGCAACAGCACGGCAAGGTCCGACGCGAAAGAGACGGCTGCACTATCACTCATTGTTATGAGGGAAACGTCGCGGCCACACGCGCGCGATTGCTGATCGATTCCTTTCGTCTAAACCTTCGACTTCTAATCCGTTCGGTATGCGATGCAAAGCGGCTGCCAGTTATAGAGCGATCCCGTAAGCGCGATACGCACTTCCTCAAATGCGTGATCCGGCGCGGTGGGAGCGGGACGGGAGACGCGAAGGTCGCGCGCGCCCTCGGAGAGACAGGGACAGCTGCTCGGAGACAAGTGCGTCGCGGACGACAGAGACGGGAGAAGTGCATTGCGCTGACGCATCGCGTTCGTCTGCGCGCTTTCGTCTTTTTGTTAACGCTACCCCCGCGGCTTTCAGTTTCGTTGTTTATTAACAGTTTACTGGAGTATCGTTACGCTAAAACCCATTAACAATCCGGTAATTAAAATATAAAACCGCTCGTCCGATCACACCATTTGGCATTTGTATGTTTCCCACGCGGTTGATGTCATTTCAATTATGAATGGCGGCCTTCGGGAGAGGGATGCCGGCAAAGGCGCGCTCCCGGCGAGTGCGCTGACCTACTGCCTGTGACCGCATTCCTCTCGGCCATCGATGATTTCGCTTAGTCAGGCACCGCGGAGTAATTATAATCTTTTTACAGATCAAGGAAGAAACTTAAACTTCCTACTATATCAGTTATTATCAAAGGTAAACATCTAAATGCTCATTGCCATAATTGAAAATAAACAATATCGTTTTCGAAATGTTAGTCAGCGTGCCCTCTCGCCCCCTACCGAGAGCGCGTGAACTTTTTATCGGTCGGTCTCCTGGAGTACATCTTACTTAGCAGCGCGTTAAGAATATGTTACGACGTGACCGAATACCGAAATAAAAGGTATTTGATAATGTGTTTTTGATACAACACGGTTACTGATACATTGTAATTGTTAACCTCGATCCCCACGTGTTTCGTTATCGCACAGTCGTTCCTAATACGTAGTAGTGTAGTTCTCACGGCGCCGCTGCCGAGGACGTTCACACCTAATAAACAACGCGAGCCGGAGCGCGGTGGTCGATTGCGCTGCGTATTTGTGTTCAACAAACATTCGTCCAGATAAGCCGTGAACGACGAGCCTGTGCTTCTCACATCTGCCACGACCTTGGCTGTTTACCCGTTGTGTAACATCCTTATCAGTCACGCTCCCCTGCTCCCCAACGCGCGCTTCACCGGCGAATCTTACAAAGTTTTCCGGTCTCGATAACTTATCAGTCTTTATCAAACAGATGCTCAGTTATGAAAGTCCGCCACGCGACGGGTTCCAATACCCGAAATATAAATTAGTGCGGGATACAATTTAGTATGGGACTTAATAATCCACCACGTGGCCATATGCCTCGTTAACATAATTACAGTTTTCGACTGGACCGACAGGTTTCGGCGCTCGCATGAATACATATCATCGGTCTGCTTAATATCGGCTATAGCATTTATACGAGATCGAAAGTTAAATCGCGAAGGTTGCTTAAAAATAAGAGACAAGCCGCGACGACTTTATGATAGTGACAAAGTGGATCGGCAGCTTAAAAAGTGAAAAAATAGTGTACGCGTAGAATACGAGGCGAGGCGGCGATTGTATTGTTGACATTTCAGTTATGACTTATGGTTTAGAGAAGCGTGCTCGTCGACAACGATTCTTCCGTAAGCTTTTATTATTCCGGTTATAAATTAAACTGCTCGTTAATCGGCCCTTTAATCCGTCTGGGCGTTGACTCCAGGCCGGCTCGTGACGGCTGCCGACGCGGACGGCTCATTTGCCCTCGCCTTATATAAATGTAGTAAAATCTTAAATTACGCATGTCTTTCCATGCGATGTTTGTGAGCGAGAAAAACTCACAATAGAGGTCCGGCGGGCGAGTCATCGGCGTGGAATGTGGTTGCATCGCAGCCTCCGATATTACAGTCTAAACCATTTCTCGCTCATATCCCGGTCTGCGACTCTTCGCGCCTATCATCGCGCATCGGTTACTTATTCTAAGTCATTAGATATCGACGTGAGATAATTCGATGGTTGAATTTTTTGTACGTTATTGTTAGCCTCGAATGAAACACTGCTTGAATATTTAGCAATATCCGCTGACTTCACCATTTATAAAAAATGGCGAATAATTAGTCAATAAAAATTCCGTCGATTATAGAGCGACTTGTTACACGGGTGTTGCGTAATTGGAGTAAACGACCTAAGAGTTGGTGGTCCGCGCGAAGGTCTTGGGGACCACGTGGTGCCAACATGTGGCCTTTACCGACGCCGCTGCCCGCTGCCGTTAACAAATTAATTACCACTAAAATATATATAAAACCTGTGTTTTATCTCTTGAGAAGTAGCTTCCTTTAACAAAACGTAATACCAATTTGATCGATCTATTTACTAATTATAATATGGATTTACGCGATTTAACATTCGATCGATCGATTTTATTAAATGAAAACATTGCTATTTAATTAGTACGACCAATATGTTTATCTTTTTTAAGTTAATAATATGAAGATATTAAAATTGCTTAAAGCACTTACATTATCAGCTAATTATCTCACCAACCCTCATCAAGATATCTCAATTCGAAAACAAAAAGCTCAACACACCGTAACGTAGTATATCGACAATTGATATTGTTTAGCATACATAACTACTTAAGTTAGTATGTTGTTAAATTGGGTGAGTTGCTAGCGGGCGATGGACCGCGTCCTTGACCGGGCGTCGCGGCGCTCAGCGGTAAACAAATTGAATGAATCGCGTACGCTCACATGTTGTACACCATTCATGTGTGCGCCGTTAACGCACGATAATTCAAGTATGTTTAACAAGGCGTCACACTGCCGTCGCCGATAACGTGCTGTTTGAAATAGGGAATTAGCTTATTGAGTTAGGGTAGGTATTCAAGTAACAGTAAAAATCTACTAGTCGATTCTCATTTTTCTCAATAGAATGCCTAAACTATATATATTAATTCATTTTGTATACATGATGAGTAACATCAAATAGCTAGAACAAAAGTGTTTTATACTATAAAAATTATAACATTATAAAACTCTAAAACATTAACATTTACGTTTTATAGTTAGTGGTAACACCGAGCCGTGTGTCGAACGGAAACTGGCGTCACGGCTCGAGGCGCCCCTCAAGACGTGCGCGGCGCGGGCGCACGGTTCCACCTCATTTGCAGCCATTTCCCTCTCTTTACTAAGCCCTAAGCGTGTTACCTGAAATTGTAATTGATATCGTAAAGCTAAACTTTAGTACGACTACTTATTCAACAAACTTGTTTGTTCTGTCTAGAAACTCCGTCACGGATAAGCTTTAAAACACGTAAACGTGGATATATTTTGTTTTTTTTAAGGCAAAGTATTTTATTGCTTTTCGAGATATCTTTGCTTGCTATGGATATCTAGCTAATGTAAAATAAATTATGTAGTAAGATCAAAGATGGTTTACAACATCTTAATTCATTTAAAATAAACTAGATAATAAGTTAAATTGTTATTATTAAAACAATATAATATATTATATTCGATTAGAACCCAAAAGTATATTATAAGTATAAGTAGTATTGCACAATCATTATATTCTATAAGGTAAGCCTTAAAGTTGTTAACCCCAAGTTTTTGTAATCTAACACAAACACAAAGTTACATAAAAGATAAGAGATCGGTATAGTTTTTTTTCCAGTACGCATTTGAGTCAGTCCAACGATGTTTGTCCACGTATGAACTGGAGTGCGACTGCATCGACTAAGAGTCGAGGCAAAGTTACAATTACAGATTGTTATAATTTGCGGAAGGCTCGCGGGTGAACGGCCGGAGCGCCCGATCGCGTCGAAGGTCAAGGCAGATCGGCATCTAGTTGCAATGAAAGAAAAAGTGACGCCCAACCTCAATAGAATGCGAGGACGAGTAAAAATGAAAGCAATATTTGACAGGACTTTTACTTATGTGATACTTTAAACGTAAATATTTAGGTATAACTTTAGCGTATTTTATTAGCCTGTTTAATTCCAATGGAATTAGATATGAATTTTAATTAGATACAAAATTTATTCTAGTTTTTTCTCATTTAATCTTGTAGTATATCAACATTGTTTCCTTGTTGTATTTGATAAGCCTCCAACACGCAAATAGATTTTGATTTTATTTTATTGAATCATTACGATGACTTGCTCGATGCGTGCGAAAGATCTCGTAAACGTTAGATATCCTGGTGTTAGGTCATTCCGCGGTCGACGACCCGCCAATTTAGTAAAATAGGTGATAATATTTACGTACATTACTTATGTGACCTTAATATAATACATAATTAGTTAAATATAAACTTTCATTAATTAATCAATTAATAATTCTGCCGAAGTTTTTATTGATCCTTTTACTTTTCTTTAAGAAAATACCATTTTTTATCTGTCTGTGCGCCAACCCGCACTTGGCCAGAGTGATGGACTATGGCCTGATCCCCCTCGTATCGAAAGGAGACCCTTGCCCAGCAGTGGGACGTTAAAAAAGCCTGAATACATACATACATGCATACATTCTATTTGTATACATCACACATCTATCAGTAGTGAAAACAAGCAATAACCTGATTTTTATTCTTTTCAAAACAATGCTGGAAATTACATGTATGTATATCTAAGAAATCTATACATATAATGAAATTGTAACTAAGCCGAATCTGTACATTAGATATTTTTTGGAAAATCTTATTGAAATACACATTGTTATCGATACAGAGGCTGAAACTATAGTTTTTAGAATTTTTGTCTATCTCTCTGTCTGTCTGTCTGGCTGTCTGTTACCGCATCACAGAAAAAACACTGGAGGGATTTTGATGAAATTTGGTATGGTGATAGCTGGTTATCAGGGTCAACATATAGGGACACTTTACCACGGGAAAAATCTCATTTCTGAAAAAAAAATACAAAAACTGCATTGTAAGAGTATACTAATATGTAAAACCTAAGAATTTAGTTTTTGGTCATCTGAACGCGGGCGGAGCCACGGGAAATACTAATATAGATATATAAAATTGTTCCGCTGTAAAGTGTAACCCTGAAAATATAACATGACATGGTTTTATTTTGTAGCAACTAGAATTCTGACCGCACGCGAAATGAAAACATTGTTTCACACAAATCTGGGTCTAGCATTAATTTAAAAGGGTTTTCATATTAGAACTCTAGGTACACTGAACATACATAGATAAGATTGCTATTAACGAATATCTTTGTTATTTATTATATTGCAATTAAGTATAGTGCAGTATGAAATTAAAATTGAATTTTACATAATAAGAGTAATCTTTTGTACGTAAAAATTCCGAAATTACATAAATAAAGTAACTGCAAGTCGAAACAAAGCATTTGCTAACTTTCTTATGTACATATGTACGTATGTGCGGTTCATATTTTGTAGCTTGTTTTACAATTGGAAGATTCCAAATTTTTTGTCCGCGAAACTCTATCGCATGCAGCCGCACCCTAATTAAAATGTTCGAAACCGAATCCCAGCGGTCTCGATCTGTATCAATTTTGCTTAATGGGCCGTTCTACAGTCGATTTGACGGCTAAAAACTTGCTCCCAACCTTAGCTTGTAGGTCATTGTGAATGGCCCTACTTATTTTTTTTTTAGTTCTGTTTGTTTTTAAACGATATTTCACTTTTTAATTATAGATAATGAATTCATTTGTCTCCTATAGAATATGATAAGGTAACAGAAATAAAATTGAATTATAACTTTATAGTATAAAAATACGTTAACATTATCAATTTCAAGCATGGGGTACACACTTGGCCTGAGTTCGTTGGAGAGACCTTCAAATGTGAACCCAGAACGAAAATCATAACGATTAATTCGTGCGTTGTATTTATTATAACGATCAGACTAATTATTTCACAGCTTAATCTAATTTGTTACGCGTCGTGGCTCGAATTCTATTCACAATACGTTATATATCGATATATGTTCCTATTTGTTGGTTAAACATCCTTTTGATCGAACATTGGATTACGAACTGCAGAAGTCGCACAGTACTTTTTGGGCTTCTCAAGGCAACGTATCGTTAGTTTGACGTCGCATTGTCTGGAAACTATATACTAAGCACATTTTTAGGCAGGAAACTTATAAGAATCTTAACAAGATTCGTTTTAAGTTCTTTTTTCAACAACTATCAATTATCGATTTTGTATGTGATTAATTTAACGTGTTATAACGTAAAATCATACAAAATATTTAATGAACTATTCGACCAGTGAAAATAATTTCAGTTCAATGGTAGATGAAATTCGCTAAAAGTATGTATAGTATTTTGATAGTAGGGTCGGATGCACCTAGCCCGACGAAATGTCACTCGGTGAGCCGCCGCCGCATTTAGTCGCTCCGAAATAGACACGGCGTTCAACAACCCCTCACATTCGTCATAGTCTCTACAAGACTCACCGACCTTTTACATCGACGTCTCTCTAAGCAAAATTCATGTAAAAACCAATACTAACCAGCAATGCAACATTACCTTTGCTATTTCCTCACCACCACCATGTCCACTAGTAAAAACTTTAATATTTATACTATAGTCTACAGCTTATTCTTATTGTACTGACATCTTTGAATACCTGGCGATTATCCCTATGTAATTTATAGCTGTCAAATCAAATCCAAAATTAATTGAGTGTTCGTTTCAAACGGGCCCGAACCGCAGCGATACGCTGCAATTTCGACCCGTCATAATGACCGGGCAGCAAAAACTTTTGACACTTAGCTGCCAAAAATAACAATCGATTATTTGATTTGGTTTGTAGGTCTTTTGAATTAATCGCGATCTTGAAATGTTTATTTGTAGAGGACAGCGTCGAAGTCAAAGGTTTCACAATGCGAATACGGGGAACTTCAGTTGAGAAACTGTTTGTAAACAACTTTTATTACAGATACCAATTTTTATAACGTAGCATCTAACCAGGAAGAGGAGTAATGCGTGGTTTTCTCGTACGCCACGTGTTTATTACGAAATGTTCCCATTACGAGTCGCACGCGATGCGATCGCCAATACGTCACAAAAAGCTTGTACATCGACATTTCCACTAGCTCTGTTATTTCTAGCGTCGTCGCAGGCGCCAACATTAGATTAGATACAGGTCCCGTCTGCACTCGAGCGCAACATTTCTGAAGCTTATTAAGTAATCCGTCATTCAAATCCTAGTTTGTCTATCACATTAACAGCTTTCGTGAATGCCCTAACCTTTCTCAATATTCTGTTTATTAGAACGCTTCGTAGTTCATACTTGTAAATAGCACTTACGTATTACTAACCTCACTATTAGGCTCCTTCAACAAAGTGTATGACCAATTACATTTATTATTGGAGATGTACTGACTAGTTGCCGATTAGTCGAGAAAGGCGACTATGCGGCCATATTTATATTCTGCGACTAGTCGGCAAAAAGCACCGACTAGTCGGGCCATTACTTTATGCATATTAGTATTCGTAATGAGGTAATTGAAACGAAATTCCGTCAATATTATTAATTATTAGCATTGCCCGCGGCTCCGCTCGTGTTTAGATGACCAAAAACCAAATTTTTAGGTTTTACATGTTAGTATATTCTTACATTGCAGTTTTTGTATTTTTTAATTTTTGATATCTCAGAAATGAGATATTTTCCCAGGGTAAAAAGTATCCTATATGTTGACCCGGATAATCAGCCATCACCATACCAAATTTCATCAAAATCCTTCCAGTGGTTTTTCTGTGATGCGTAACAGACAGACAAAAATTCTAAAAATTATAGATTCGGCCTCTATATCGATAATAATGACTATTTCAATAAGATTTTCCAAAAAATATTTTAATGTACAGATTCGGCTTGGTTACAATTTTATTATATGTATAGATTATTTAAATTTTAGTATCAAGTCTTACAATTGGTAATATAATTTATATCACTAAGATTAACAAAAAATAAATTTTGAACGCTGTACAACTCTTGACAAAGAACATAAGTTTTTCATTTTTAAATCACAGTTTCATACACTATTATTATTAGGAGAAATATAACCTAGAGCCAGGAACCGACTAGTCGGCTGATTAGTCGGCCTTTTTCGAACCGACCAGTCGGCTAGTCGGCAATACTCTTAGTCGGCCATCTCTACTTATTATATACTATAGCTATAAATGATTGTTTTGCGCGAACTTATTGATATGTAGAGTCTCAGATTTCGGC